GACAGATTGGTCAAGAGCAGTATTTGGCTGCTGGAAAATCCCCTCGATCCCATTATAAAGTCAAACAAACACCCGAGTGGAATTCTTTCCAAAATCTACCCTCTCAGGATCCCCTATCCATCCATCCATCCATCCATCCATCCATCCATCCATCCATTTTGTAAACTTTTATTGAGCACCTACTGTGTACCCAGAACCATTCTAAATACTAGAGAGGGCGGGGAGGTTCAGTGGTGACTCACACAGTGTTGGGTCTACCCTACAGAGCCTACAGTCCATGGGGAAGACACACAACCAAACATGTCATTACAGCAGCATGGCCAGCACCATGGTAGGGCAGGTCATGGTTCTGTTAACCAGGGAAGGGGAGAAGAAGAAGCCCTTGGGCACAGGGTAAGGATGGGGAGTAGTAGAAGTGATCTGCCAGCTGAGCCCCGAGGGAGGAGTGGAAGCCAACCCAGGGGGCAACAGCATTGAGTGGTGTAGGGGACAGTGAGGAGGGGAAGAATGAGAAGTGCCGGGAAAAGCTGATGGCAATATCAGGGAAGAGTAGACTCGTAGGGAGCCTCCCCAAAAATACTCTGATGCAGCTTCACCTTCACAGTGCTTGATGGGGAGGCTGATTTGTATCCGTGAGCGCTGAGTATGGTTTATCTATAAGATCTTACCTCCCTGTCACACCCATATTCCCAAAAGAGTCTGTGTTCTGGGGCCAAACACAACTTCGAGGCAGTCCTGTCTTCACCTTGCACAAGCTTCACCCTCTAAGCCTCAGTTTCCCCATCTGTAAAGTGGGGCTAATAGTAATACTTCACAGGGGCATTGTGAGGAAACAACTGGGCCCTAGCACCAATACCTGGCACATCATAAGGTCTTCATAAATGAAAGCTGTAGCTCTGACTGGATTGGCCGTGATTTGGTGAATATCAAAGCTTAATGATAAGCACATGAGAGCTCATTGTACTGTTCTGTTTTCTTTGAGTATTTGAAATTATTACAGTAAAATTTATTTTTAAAAACTACTGCTTGTATTATTTCTGCGATTGCTACTATGATCCATACTCCTCTGAGGAGTGTTCCCATTCATTGAAGGGAATCAGAATATGACAATTTCAGGAGACCAAAACCTTCCTCCAGAATTTTTCCCTTCCTCCTGCCAAGTTAATTCTCCCAAATATTCAGAGGGGCCTGAGAGAGACCTTGCAACCCCTGGCCCATCCTGATTCCATAGGTTGGCTCCAATGCCAACATCAGAGCTTCAAAATCAGGTGTAAAAAGGAAATACTGAAACTCGAGTTTTATTTATTTTTAATCTTAAAAAAGAGAGAAAAATCAAGCATTCCTAATACTTAAAATACAGATTGAAGCTGTGCACGCAAAGAATTAAAGTGTACAGCCTTAGCTGTGACACATAAAAGAACACATATTCTTGCCTAAGATTCTGAAAAAAATGGCAAACCGAAGGGAAACACATGGATTAACCCTTGTTTCTTTTCGTTCCAGTGAGAGGAGACCTTTCTCCAAACTTGGTTAGTGAGCTGAAAGAAGTTACTGACTTGTGTGGAGATCTGTTGATGAATATGAATATGAATACAAAAAGATAGAAATTTTTTTAAAGTATGGATTGACATTACTATGCATAAATTATTCACAAGTCAAATACATAGATTGGGTGCAAGTGCTCAAAAAATGTTTGTCCAATAGGACTGCATGATCAGTGAAGTCTGGAGCAACTGGTCTCCATAATATGGCTCCTCCACAGTGTCATCAGAGCTCCATGCAGAGGGGGATCTGGATGTTTTGTTTCAGGTGCCCCAGAGAACCATCTGCTCACACAGATAGGAGGAAAATGTAGCAGGCGGCGTAACTTCCACTGGAATTTCCAGGGTCAGGTGTGTGTATATCACGCACTCAGGCAGTCTTACAAAAAATTAGTCACATAGATGTACACTCTGGGAAAAAGCAAGGGATCTCTCACCATTCAGGGACAGTCATGCTCCTGTACCTGCAAGGTGCCCCCTCCCCACCACCAAAAGGAATAAGGGAGAGTTATTATAAGGGAAGGTGATCGGGAGACCCTAAGAAGAAGGAGCATGGAGGTTGCTGATGGAGACAGGTAGGTCCAAAAAGAGCATTTGGAGTTTGTGACCTACAGGTCCTACTGGACCATCAACAGTGACCCCAAGGCCAGGATGTTCAGCCGATCCTCAGGAGTGGGAGCCTCTGTCTGGGGTGCTCTCTGCAGGCAGCCTGGGCCAACAAAGCAGGGCTGGCTCTTCTCATCTGACCCTTTGGAGTGTGCTGAGACTCCCTACATCCAAGGACATAAGAAAGGGCAGGAAGTGTGTCCCACCCATTTGATCTCTTCTCAAAGGCCTGTCTGTGAACTCTGGGAGGCAGATGTGCTTGGTCTGTGCAGTCAGAGGTCAAGTCCTGGTTCAGGCTTTTAGCTTTGTGAACTTGGGCAAGTCACTAGACCTCTTGAAGCCTAATTTCTCCCCCTCTCAGATGAACAGAATAAAAGCTTTCTTACTTCCTGGGAGATGCCAGTATAATAATCCCAACCTAAAAACACAGAAAATAGACCCAAAAGCAATTAGGAAATGAAGACATACTTTCTAAGTACAATTGGTGATAATTCTCTCCTCAACTATTGATGAGAAGGGTAAGGGTCTGGAGCAAATGGTTTCTTGCATCCCACGGGCACTCCAAGACTGAGAGCACGCAAAGGTGGCAATGGTGGGAGGCCTGGCGTCCTCATTCTTCCCTACCTCTGTCTCAGGGTGTCCTCCAGAGATCATGGGATCGTGGATGTCTATGAGTCTTAAGGGGCTGCAGACACAGAGGGAGGTTGTCCAGGGCCGGTGAGCTCCTGCCTCCAGCCTGCCACCTCATCAATCTATCATCCTCTTAGCAGCTGACACCTCTGGCAGCTCCTCCCGGCTGCCCAGGCATTAGAATTGCAAGAAGCCCAGTTGCATCAGGGAATACAGATGGAGGAATCTCAGATTCAAATTTGTCTAAGTATCGTGAACAGCCAGACCCGGGCAAGGCATCTCTACTGCCCTTCCACCGAAGGGGAGTGATGGGGGTTTTGTTAGAAGTACAAATTGCTTCTTAATGCAGAGGATAAAGCTGGGCTCGGGCACCTCCTTAGAAATTCCTCCCGCTCCCAGGAAAGCCACCGCTGCATGTCAATTTTAATTTTTGAAATTTAAACCGAGGGCTTTGTGTCTAAGCTCCATCTCATCGGAGGAAGGGGAGGAATAAGTCAAAAAGGATTAGGGGCCCACTGGGGATTGCAGATCCATAGCAATTAGACTTCATTTGGGTCTCAGACATTTGGTTTTAATCGCATTTCTGGATGATACAATCGACAAGGCATCAGAAATTGATATGTATGCAACTGTAGATGGCCCCCACTCTGCCCTCCCCAGTTCCTGGCCTCAGCTGGGTTTGGGCTCCGGGATCAGGGGGGTGGAGTGGGGCGGAGTGGGGAACTAGGGTTCCATTTGAGTCTGGAACTGGAGAGATGGTGGTTTGTGTGTCTAGGTGTGTCTAGGTGTATGTGTGTGTGTATATATATATAATTTGTTTTCCCCCAGCTGTCTTTGAGCACTTTATCCCCGGACTCAAAGCAGACACAATCATCACTAATATTCAAGTGAATGGCAATAAAACATTATTCAAATAAAATAAGAGCATAAAGAGGAATTGCGACAGTGACAGCACTCAAGGCAGGGGGTGTAATTGCCTCTCAGATGGGACTCACAGCTTTCAGCATCCTCCAAGAATGAAAGTTCAGCACAATGTGATTTGGGGGCAGACATCCAGCCATGAACACTGTCACATACCACACTGACATGGACCGATGGATGCATGTTTGTGTGTGTGTGTGTGTGTGTGTGCAGTCGTGTCACTTGGATTAGTGATGACAAACACGACATTATATCCTTTGGAGGGGTGCGTGCACCTGTGTATTTCCAGCTTTATCCAAGTACACACACTCTAGGGTTGCCTCTGTGCACACATTTCTCTTCAAACAACTGGTCAAAATGAGCTAAGTACTGACAAGTTGCTAGCCAGTTATTTTGTAGATAACTTACTGTTTATCAGAGCTCAGCGATTTAAAAACGAAACAAAAAATAAAAGGAAAAAAAGTAAAACCACATGGGGTGTTTTCTAACTCGTGAGTGTGGTGAAAGGAGGTAAAGATGGGGGACCAAAGAAACACATTCGGGTTCAGAGCAGGTGCTCCACACCACTGTGCAAACAGAAGGGAAGACCCCAGAAAAAGGGCGTCTCTCCATAAAAGTGTCTATCTCACCACCTGGTTCTGGGTGAATTCAGAGAACTGAACAGGACCGTCTCTGTTTACCAGCTCTTGAGAGATGTGGATCTAGCTGGTGTGTGAGCAAATGGACCAGTGCTGAGTATACCATGTGCTTGAGTGGGTCCATTTCTGCGGGGGACTTCTGTGCTTCCTTTTAGGGGCAAACATCTCAAAGATGACCTGTGGTCAAGTGCCTCACTCATGCCTCCCATTTGCAGATGTGCTTCCTCCTCCTCTCCCTTCTCCAGAAATTTTTGCCCTTTGAACTCCTCCCACAAGCCTATCCTCTCCTGGGGCCTCTAACTCCCCCCACCCACCCTCCTCTGGACTCTTCCAGTTCAGGGCCACAGCCCAGGGGACTGCATCCCCATCTCATCACGTCTCTTCCCCCACCCCAGGTGGCAGGGCCAAGGCAGTGCCTGGCAAGCAGGGCATAGATGAGGCTACTCAGGGCCAGGTGAGATCTTTAAGCCAAAGTAGATGTCTGGAGGCCCCGTCCTGGGGCCCCACTGAGAGAGAGTCAGAGCCCAAGGTCTAAAAACATAATTTAATGCATCAACGTGGGTCTGACTCTGGAGTGCGGTGGACAGGTGAATTTTCCGTTTGCTGGGATTCTGCTGCGGGTAGTTTTTGGCTGATGGACAGGGAAATTTGCACGTGTATTTTGGGTCACAAAGAAGGATGCCCCAGGGAGCTCCTGCTCACTTTGGCCTATCTGGTCCCGCTCAGGGCACTGGGAAAGGGAGGGGGGCTGGAAGGGCAGGCCTCCCGCCCGGCTTGTCCAGTCCAATCAGGTTTGCAAAGTCTGAACTGAGCTGTCTCCGCCTCTGGGGGTTTAGGGTTCACGCTCACCTCGCCACTTGAGCATCCCCTTCTCCCTCCCCGGGTTGGGGACGGGGACCAGGAGGACAGCCCACAGAGGAACCGGGGTGAGAGTCCGCAGACACACTGAGGTCAGAGCGGGTCAGGGAGGACGGCAGGGATGTGTCTTTTCCGTAGATGTCAGGAAGTGTCATGAAGCGAGAGCGGTCCTCTCCAGCCGGGGAATAGCTCTCTGCCGCGGGCCTCGGGCGGCGTGAAGCCACTCCGCCTCGCGCTCCCTGCGCTCCTAATCCGGGTACAGAAGAAAGCCCGAGAACGTGCTGTATTTGTTGTTGTTGCCTCCGTGCGCCTTCCCGCCGTCCAGCTTCACGTACACCTCGTCCCCTGAATCGAGGTGCAGCACCACGCTGTTACTGGCGTAATCGTAGTTCTGGTCGGCGTCCTGAGCGATCGCACTGGCCCGGACCTGGGGGCGAGCCGCCAGAGCAGGTGGGCCGGGGCTCCCTGCCTGGACCTTGCCCGCGCCCCACCTGGCGCCCCTCCACGCCCCGCGGCCCCAGGGTCCACGCTCCCACCCAGGCTCCTCTCCTTCTCCCTCTCCCTCTCCCTCTCCCTCTCCCTCTCCCTCTCCCTCTCCCTCTCCCTCTCCCTCTCCCTCTCCCTCTCCCTCTCCCTCTCCCTCTCCTCTCCCTCTCCCTCTCCAACTTGGCCAACTCCTTTCCCGTCCCCTCCTCTCCACAGCAGGCTAGTCAAGTCCGGGAAGGAAGGAGAGAGGGAGCTTCATAAACCCTGACCCAGCGGGGAAGGGGAAAAACCAGGGGACCAGGGCCGAGAAGAAACAAACAAAACAAAACAAAACCAAAAAGTGGAGGGCAAAGGGGAGACGGGGGCGCAAAGCGAGAGTTAAGGAGGAATGAGGCTTCCGAAGAGCCCACGGGGCGGCCGGCGGGCAGCCAGTGGCTGGAAAGTGCAGTCGGGGTGGCGGGGTCTCGGGCGCTCGGGACGCAGCCTACCCGCGACCGACCGGGGCGCCCCGCCGAGCTGGGTGCGCGGCGCGCTCAGTCCCAGGGCCCGCCCGGCGCCCGGAGCGGGGCAGGGGGGGGCAGGAAGGAGTCGGGCTTCCCAGGCGGGGTGGGGCGCGGGCTGGGGCGCGGGGTGGCGAGGGTCGCCTGCGGGGACGTGCGGGGCCGGCGGCTGGGGTGACTGACCTGCCCGTTCTTGCAGAGGTCCGCCCACATGCTGGTGCCGTCGCCGCCGCGCATGAGGATGTGGTAGGTGAAGAAGTAGATGCCGCGCACCTGGCAGCTGAACTTGCCCGTGGTGGGGTCGTAGTGGTTGCCGAGATTGGTGACCACGTCGTCGAACTTGAGCACCTCGTAGCCTTCGTGGGGGCTCTTAAGACCCACGTAGAAGGCGATCTTGGGCCCGCTGAAGGCCGCGCTCAGCGCGCCCGCCACTTCGCCTTCGGAGTCGCCGCCGCCCCCGGCTCCGCCGCCCGCCACCCCGACCCCGCCCGCCGCGCCCGCCGTCAGCTGCAGGCCGGGCAGCCCGGGCCGCCCCGAGTCGCCCTTCTCCCCCGGGGGACCCCTGGGTCCAGGCGGGCCCGGCTCCCCAGGGGGTCCCCGCGGCCCCGGCTTGCCGGGTCGCCCCGGGTCGCCCTTGGGTCCCTGGATGAAAGGCGGCGGCGGGTTGGCGCTCAGGTCCTGCATGACTTCCAGGGCGGCCGTGCTGGGTCCCGGCGGCGGCGCCTTGGCTCCCGCGGGCCCCCCTCCGGGCGCGGCGCTGTACGGGTCGCAGATCATGCGGCAGGTGCCCATCATCTCGTAGTGCGCCGCGCCGGGGGGCGCCGCCTGCAGCAGCAGCGGCAGGGCGATGAGCAGCCCCAGCGCCATGGCCAGGAGCACGCCGACGGTCGCCAGGCAGGCGCGCCGCCGCCGCTGCCACAGCCGGGAGGCGGCCGCCACCAGCTCCTCCTTGCCGCCCGGGGAGGTAATGGTGGGGCGGCGCGGGCGGCCCCGCTCCCCGCGCTCGGGGGCCGACTCCGCGGATCCCGGCCGCGCCCCCGACGTGGCGACCCCCTGCTCCGGGCGCCCGACCACTTCTAGCGGGAGGCGCCTCGGCCCAGGGGCTGGGGCTGCTCGGAGAAGCCGCGGAGCCCGGCGCGCATGGCGGGGGCGCCCAGGCTGAGCCCGGCGCCCCTCGGGTCCCGGCGGCGGCGGCGGGTGCGGCGGCGGCTGCGGGTGCGGCGGCGGCTGCGGGTGCGGGTGCGGCGTCCCGCGCGGGCTCGGCGGCGCTGCCTCCCGGCCGGCTCGGCGGGGCTCGGCGGGCTCGGCGGGGTCGGCGGGGCTCGGCGCGCAGGGAGGGCGCCCCGGCTCCGCGGCGCGCTCTGCTCTGCTCTCCCGCGGCTCGCTGGCTCCGCGCGGAGGGGGGACCCAGCTACCCTGACGTAAGGAGTCCGGGGCTGAGCGGCGGAGGCGGCGAGGCAACGCGCGCTGCCATCACTCGGGAGACGGCGCCCTCATGTCATCAGCCTCCGGTCCTCCTCCTATCCCGCGGCGTCCTCGGCAGGGGCGGCGAAGGCGCGGTTCCTCCGCGGCGCCCCGGAGCCACAAGTGGGCGCAGCGCGCGCATCCCGGCCCCCGCGCCTCCGACACACCCCCCGCGGCCCCCTCGCGCGCCTCCCACCCGCCGCACACTCGCGCCCACGCGCGCCCTCCGGCCTGACCCGCCCCGCCCCGCCCCGCCCCGCCGCCCGGCCCGCCGCCAAGGTTCCTGGAATCCCCGAGCTGGCAGGGTCCTTCGGGGGACCCCAGTCCATCCCCCTGCCTGTGAGCGGGACCAGATTTCAACCCAGCAAGTCAACCCAGCAAGCTCGATCCCTTGAGGCCCTGGAACGAAGGACTTTCCGTAAATCTTGCTTTTGGAAGGTCCTCCACACCCCTAGTCCGAGGACTCCAAGTTATTATATAGGCTCCAGAAGACCACCCCACCAAATCTTCGAATGAGTCTTTGAAAAGCCCAAAGTCCTGGATACAAGAGTCTATTAGCCTCGGCCCCTTTCTTCTACCAAGAAAATCACTGGCCCTCATTTTCTGTGTAAAGATCATTTAAATGCAAATCCTTAACACCCAGCGCTTGGTGGTAACCTTGGTACACCCAGCTCCCACTCGGAGCCCACCACTACCGGGCAGATCCACAGAGTTTCCTTTGAACATCTCCAGTTCCCTACTACCGAGGTGGGTTTAGTTGTGTATTTAAAAAAAAAATGTCTAAAGCCATTCTGAGCCAAAGTTTTGAATAAGCACTGACACCAGATTTAGAGAATTATCCATCTCCAATGCAGCATGTGAGGATAAAGAAAGGATGGGAAATTCTCCTGCGTGCTGGGAAGACCTCCAGCTCCAAAATCAAAAGCCCTGGTCTTCTGGTTCTGCTCTGGCCGTGAGCAGCTGTGTGACTTTGGGCATTTCCCTCTCTGAGCCTATCTTCCTAAAGCCCCAGCCCTCCCCAACATGGGAACGCACCCTGTGGGGCCTGGGAAGAAAGTCCAAGCGCTGATACCAGTGCTTGGCAACGCATCAGCATCTCTGGAACAACCATGCGCCCTCCTGAGGCTATTGCTTTGAGAAGAACATTCATTTATCAGGTTTTGTGTTCTTTTGGGTTACTTAAAAATCCATTTTGTTTTTCTGGTCATTCTGGGTCATTTCCCCACCGCACCCCACGGTGCTCCAGCCCTTTTCTCCATACGTGTATTTCCCAGGGCATGGCATAAGATCTGTCATCTGGTACATACAGGCCTCAGTACATATTTGTGGAAAAGATGACTGAACCTAGCCTGAAGCAAACTTTACCCAGGGGAGAAGGGGCAGAAGGAATTCATCTGTTGGGCACCCACTTTAATGCATCAGGTGCTTTGCACGTGCTCCTTCACTTCCTCCACCCAACATCCCTACGGATTAGCAATTACTCTCTCGTTATGCAGATGAGAAAACAGAGGTTTTGAAAGTGCACAGTGCTGCCCAGTGTTCCCTATCCAAATGACAGAGCTCAACTCCTCATTCCCTGACCAGGGGATCTGCGACCCTGGCAGTGAACTGTTGCCAGCTAGCTCCTGGTCACATTCTTCATTGGTATGCTGAGTCCTGGGAGCCCTCCATTCCCTTCTTTAAGGCCACCCCTTAAAACTCGGGAACCACAGTGATTTCAAGAGCCACACCCTCTGGTCCCAATCCTGGGTCTGCAACTTTGTATCTGCATGACTTTGGGCAATTGCTTCACTACTCTGAACCTCAGTCTCCATGTGTGAAGAATGGGAGTGCCAAAATTACCTGTCTCAGAGTTATTGAGAAATCAAATGATTAATTAATATAAAAGCCTTAGAATAATCGCTGATTCGGTAAAAGTGAGATTTACTATTATTAATTCTTGATACCTTAGACCTCCCCCTTCACCATGATCAAGATCACTAAGATGAAACATGTGGGTAGTAAGTGGGGTGGGGGGTAGATTTGTGATTTAAAAAGGAGAGAGACCCAAGACCACCCACATGCTCTGTCCTTCCCCAAAGCAGAGAAGAGGAACTAGACCACCCTTCCCACACTGCCTTCCTCTGGCTGCCTGCCCTCCACCGAAACTCTGCAGAATGCTTCTGGTCACCAGTTCCACCTGGAAAAATGTTTTCCAGGCAGACCATCACTCAGTTTGAATTCCCAAGCCCTGCAGACCACTATCCCTAAATCCCCATGTTTTCGCCCCTGCAGAATCTATGCAGGGAAGAGGCAAGGAGGGGCAAACATTTGAGACCCAGGCTTTTACCCCTGCAGGCAAAGCAACCTTGCCCCTGGAGCACTGATGGCCTTGCAGGGAGGAGGGCTTCTTCCCAAGGCCAGACCTCTACCAGGAGCCGGGACAGGGGCAGTTAGAACAGGGTGAGAGCCAACAGCCTCCTGCTCCAGACCACATGAGTCATCAGGTCCTGACCCTGCCCCCTTCCCTCCCTCTCACCATGGCAGAGCCAGACAGAGTCCCTGCAGGAGCACTTAACACCCCTGCTTATCAGCCTGGCTTCTACTCTCCCTGAGTGATTCTTGTCATGGGTGGCTGTCTTCTCATTAATATTAATTATGGCCTTTCTTAGCCTATTGCCTTCTATTTAGACCATGGTTTTACATTTAAGGCCCAATAGTGACTTAAATCTGCCTCAAATTGCCACTAGTAAGCCAGCCTCATTTCTTCCACTAATGCCTCCACCTTCTCACAAAGCCCTTGTGGTCTGTGATACAGAGTTTGATACCTGGGGTCACACATTGTCTTATCTGGCACTCTAATGGCCCGTGCCAGGAATAAGCCCCATTTTTCATTCATCTGTCCTCCAGTGTCTTCAACCTGGGATGCCATTCCTTTCTTATCTCTCTAGTCTCATCCCTAATTATCCTTCAAGTTCCAGCTAAGTGTCACGTCCTTGTCTGAAGTCTTCCCTGACCCATCTCCAAGCAGAGTTGACAATTCCTGCCCTTGTACCCTTAAAGTACCTTGAATGGGTTAAGCATCTGACTCTTGGTTTTGGCTCAGGTCATGATCTCAGGGTTGTGAAATCGAGCTCCACATTGGCTCTGCGCTAGGTGTGGAGCCTGCTTAGGATTCTCTCTTTCCTTCTCCCTCTGCCCCACCCTCCCTCCACTGCTCAATCATTCTCTCTCTCTCTCTCTCTCTCTCTCTCTCAAAAGAAAAAGAAAGGTACCTTAAATATACATGCGTCTGCCATCATATATCATACGACCAAATATTTGTTTCCTTATTAGTCTTCCCCATCAGGCTGTGAGTCCCAGTAGGTTAGGAATCATGTAATTCATTTGTTCCACAAGTATTTATTCACCCCTACTGTATGCCAGGCACGGTGCTACATGCTGAGTGCCTAGTGGTGAACAGTACCGGTGTGGTCCTGTCCATTCTAGCTATCCTGAAGGGCTTCCTTGACTCCCTCTACCTCTTTCTACTTGTGTTACTTGGGTTTATACTTGAATAGCTCCTACCTGGCATGGCTGTTTTTCTTTAAATTAGGTCTGTGCCCCCAAATAGACTGTTTTCTCTTTAGAAACATCATCTTGAATACATTGGCCAATCTCCTACCTCCATCGCCAAAGGGAAGGGAAGCATGAGGTAAGGTCAGAAAGGTAGGCAGGGGCCACATTACCAAAGGTCTTGGGGGTACATGTTAAAAGGTGTAGATTTTAATCTCAGTGTAGTTGAGAGTCCCTGAAGGAGTTTAAGTAGGGAAGTGGCATGACGCCATCTACATTTTGCAAAGAACAGGCCTGATTGCCATTCGGTGAATGGTGTGAGGAAGGGACTAGAAATAAGGAAACCAGTTTGGTGGCTATTGTGTAATCCAGACAAAAGTTAATGGTGGCTTGGTGTGGGATAGTAGAAGAGAATTCCAGATGCGTTTTGAACATGGAATCCATGGGTCTTACTGATGGATTCAAGGTGGAAGTTAAGAGAGGAGGAGGAAATCAAGTTCACCTCCTAAGATATGGCTTCAGCATTTGGGTGAATGGACATGAGAAGGGGGATATTTGGGGAAGAATAACTTCTTGTGGCAGATGGGAGGTAGGAGGTAGAAGGAATTGTGAGCTCAGGTTGGTAATGGTAGGTGTGAGATATCAGTGATATATTTGAATGAGGCATCACCTGGGCAGTGTATGAGTCTAGTATTCAGAGATGAGGTCAAAACTGAAGATATACACCAGAGACTTCTCAGGATACAGCTATTTGTAGTCTTGAGAGGGAAGAATGGAGAATGGGGGATGTAGAGAGGGAGAACCCAGTCTCATGATGAACAAACTCTCCACCCCAGTCATTCTGAAGCTGGGTAGAGGAGAACGGGAAA